ATTTCACGGGTCGATCCGGTAGAGCAGTTTGGCTTGTTATCAGTGCAAACATTCACTGTCACTGAATCCACCGAAAGCTGCCAAGTACTTCAAGTAAGTTTTCAGTGAGCCATTTCCATTAGAGGGCACGATAAATTTGATTAAATTTACTTGTTGTCTTCGGACTTCCACAAACTAGATATTTAGTTGTCGACAACTATATGTTATTGACAGCTAAAAGATGTAGAGTGTGTGATGAGTTGTTGACAACGAAATGCTAAATTTTTAGTTGTCGACAACTAAGCAGTTTCTCTTCTCGAAAAGGAAAACTGCTTTAGTTGCTGACAACTACGTTTTGACTATTTTTCTTTTTTTTTTCTTTACCGTGTGAGGAATCATTGGTTTAGTTGTCGACAACTATCGTAACAGGGTTGTCAGTGGACAGTGGTTTGAGCATACGTATTATGTTTTGAGCATGCGCGTGAACGTTAGTTCGCAAGGTCTCGCTGACCTGACTTGGACATCGAAAACTGACACTCCAATGTGTGAAATGCTCGCATCGGACACAATTGCCGATAATATTTAGTTACCGATAACAAATAGTTGTCGACAACAAAATGTTCAGTCTGTGGAGGCCCTGGTTGTTCTTCAGTTTTTTGCGCTTGCACGCAGGGGCGGATCCAGGATTTTTCTTAGGAGGGGGCGCACCACTAAGGAATAGCGTAACTGACTGGTGAAGTAAACAGATTTTAAAAGCGAATACGAAGAAGAAGGCTTCATCTCGNAAGGGGGGCGCACCCCCTACACCCTCTAGATCCGCCCCTGGCACGGCAACTGACTTAGTGATGCACGCATATTGTACAATTACTCCGTTGGCGTCTGATGCATTTCAATCGTTCATTTTGTCTGTCTGTCTATTTGGATGAGTATTTATTTGTTTTTTCTAGGCACTAAAAGTCGAAGAGGGAACATTTTCGTACCATGCAGAGCTTGAAATACTAGACTCTACCATCTGCAAAGCGAATGCGATGAAGGTTACTTTTCAGCCAGAAAAATGTCCAACCCATGTCCACATTCGCTTTGAAGGAGCTGAAAGGTATCCTTTCCGCATGATCAAGTTCTACAACAGTAACTAAGGACCTTAAGCAATGACGACGGCGACGCCGGGGACGACGCCTAATAAGATATGCTTGAATTTCTATTTTACCTTCGAATTTTGTAACTATCTGAATCTGCTAAGTATGTCAATCAGTCTGAAAACCTGCACAAACTAGATATGT